GGGGGAGGGGGTTCCCCAATGTCCTCCCTTTGGAGCGGGAACCGAGACCCCTTGGACGGAGTGTTTCGAGGTTTTCTGTGGCCCAGCCAAGATGACCAAACTGAGACTGTCGCACTTCGGACATATATCACGAGAAGAGGGGACTCTGGAAAAAAACAACAACAATAAAGCTGGGAAAGGTGGAGGGAAGGCCACATGCCAAATGGATGGACTCTGTTAAGGGGTTGCAGGATTTAAACAGAGCAGGGGAGGACAGAGGGTCTTGGAAATGGCTCATCCATAAGGCCACCATGGGTCAAGATTGACTCGAGGGCAGGTAACAACAGCAGCAAAAATTTCCTCATTATCCAGGTTAAGTTTATGTAAATCCTCCATAATAATTTTTTTAAATTTCTTTATGTTTAACATTTGGCTGGCTTTTGCACTTTCTTCCTTGACTTTCTTTTGTGGTTGTTGCAAGTCTGCGATGCTCCCCACTAGTAGTATGGTGTCATCTGCATATCTTAAATGTTTGATGTTCCTCCTTCCTATTTTCACTGCTCCTTCTTCCATGGCTATACCTGTCCTATGTATGATATTTTCCGCATATAAGTTGAACATATAGGGCCTTCTCATAGTGTGGTCAAAGTATGACAGCCTCAGTTTCATCATCTTGGCTTCCAGGAGTATTTCTCATTTGATCTGACCAAGGACTCATCTGTTTGTCGTCTTGGCCATCCATGGTATCCTCAGCACTCTTTTCCAGCATGGTATCTCAGATGAGTTGGTTTTCTTTCTGTCTGCTTTCTTCACTGTCCAGCTCTCACATCCATCCATACATGGTGAAGGGAAATAGGATGATTTGGATGATTCTAACTTTTGTGCTCAATTATATGTCTTTACTCTTTAGGATCAAACTGAGGCTGTCATACTTTGGCCACATCATGAGATGGCATTATGTCATTAGAAAAGACAGTAATGCTAGGGAAGGTGGAGGGCAGCAGAAAGAGAGGAGGACCACACACCTGATAGATAGACACAGTCAGAGATGTTATGGGCATGGGTTTGCAAGAACTAAGCAGAAATCTCATCCACAGGGTTGCCATAAGTTAGGGTCTACTCCAGGATAGTTAACACCAACAGCAACTGGCTGCAGCTCCAATGGTCTTCGCGGATCTGGAGAGTAAAGAGCGAATGTGTTAAAATAGGAATAAATAGAATAAAATTTTATTTTATTCCTGTGAAAAGGGAATATTCTGGGAGAAGAATGTCTTCTCTTCTTTTCCTCACTAGGTGTAGCAGCGAGGGCCCTTCAGCTAAGACAAAATTTAAACAGAATGTGTAACTTCCTCCTTACTTTACTTGCTAGATTTTTCACTGCCCTTCCTCCAAAGAGCTGAGATAAGCACACTTGTTTTCCCCTTCTGTTTATTTATGTGTTACATTTGTACTACACCTTTCTTCCAAGGTATCATTTGTGGCCCTTCTCCCTATTCGTATGCTTACAACAACCCTGTGAGGTAGAGTAAGCTAAAATAGAAAATGACCAACCACCATCACCCCACAATGAGCTTCATGACCTAAGGGGGATTTGAACCATTGTCTTCCCAGCCTTCAACCAACACTGTAACCCAGGGGTAGGCAACCTTTTTGAGCTGGGGGCTGGGTTGCTGTCCCTCAGACAATGGGGGGGCCGAAGCACCAAAAATAAATAAATAAATAAATAAATAAATAAAATTAAAATTATTTTTTTAAAAAAATATATATGCATGCACACTCTCTCAGCCCCAGAAAAGCAAAACCCCTGTGGAGATTTTGCCAAGAAAACCCCAAGAACAAGTAATAACAACAATAATCAATGTCATCATGGCAGGTAGCGGCGGCAGCAGGACTGGCCTGGGGCCACTCCAAAGGCCTCAGGGGGCTGCATCCAGCCCCCAGGCCTTAGGTTGCCTACCCCTGCTGTAACCACTTGCTGCTGCTGCTGCTGCTATTGTGTGTCTTCAAGTCATTTCTGACTTATGGTGATCCTAAAGCACCCCCATCATTGGGATTTCTTGTAAGATTTGTTCAGAGGAAGTTTACCATTGCCTTCCCCTGAGGTTGAGAGAGTGTGGCCTGCCCAAGGCCACCCAGTGGGTTTCCATTGCCAAGCAGAGATTTGAACCCTGATCTCTAGGATCCTAGTCTAACACTAAACCACTACCCCATACTGGCTCTAACCACTACACAACAACATGGTTTTCACAATGACGGTGCAAGGAAGAGAGAGGGAGATTACTACAAGCATTATTCCCTCTCCTTTGCTAAAGCAGCCTGTAATATGGAGTTTGGCTATGCTCTGGAAACCAGCACTACTCCTTGGAAGCAAGTTGCTTGTTGTGGCCAGAAATGTCTGCCCATTTTCAGCTGTGTCTCTTCCCAGGAAAAGTAGTTTTCCCCAGAGTGATTCTTAATTGTTTCTTAACTGGACTGCTGCAATGTACTGTAGTGCACAGTATCTTGGAAAGGGTTCAGAAGCAAGAGCTTGTGAAAAATGCAATTCTCTCCTATCCTCTTTAGAGAGTGTTTTGCTAGTCTTGAACCAATTCTGCTCTTTTCTGAGTTCAATTTAGGGGACTGGTTTTGACTTAGAGAATTAGGGGGATTGCAGACTGCCAGAAAGTGCAAATTGTGCAAATTGAGTCCACTTTTAGGGTTAGGGTTAGTGCTAGGGAATCATGGGAATTATTTTTTTTCTCTGAGACATTGAGCCTTCTCTGTCAGAGAGCTCTGGTGCCACAATAAACTGCAGTTCCCATGATTCCCTAACCCTAACCCTAAAAGTGGACTCAATTTGCACTATTTCTGGCAGTCTGCAACCCCCCTTAGAGAAAGCCCTCAACAGTTGGGTGCCAGAATAGATAGAACAACCACCTTTTCCAGTATGAGCCTGCTTGGAATTTCAGATCTTCAACAGTGCATTCTATCACAATAAAGACTTTTCTGGTTAGTATAAAAGGCAGGTTTTCTCTATAGCTGTACCTTAGCTGTGGAACTCCCTTCTCAAGGGAAATTAAATGAAAATTCTCATTGTGTTATATTAAACTCAAATATACTTCTTAATGTCTCCTATGGAGCCACCCCATCTTCACTCTGCAGCCAGGATTTTTTAAAATGTTTTAATTGTTTTTAAAACAATGTTTTAACTATTCTTTTAACAGAATGGGTTCTGCATGTTTAGCAACGATCTGACATGAAGAAAGAAACAGAAAAATAATTTCTTGCAGCCGTAACTGCCTTCCCAGAAATGTGTCATCTATTTCATTTATGCTTGTTTAAAATGTTAGGAATACCTTCTGCTAAATTCACAAGAGCCCAGTTGGTTTTGTGTGTGTGTGTTTTAAATCCTACTTTTAATTCCAGTCAGTATTTGTACTCTGTTTTGCTTTCAGATCCTGCCCCATAAAATAACATAATCTTGTCTCTTATTACCGTTGTGGCATCTAACAATCTTTTTATTCAGAATAAATAAATAAATTCTTAGATGCTTATCTGAACTAACTCGTCACAGCAGATTTGTGCAGCCATTTAGAAACCAACCAAGTTATGAACACCAGCCTGGCTGGCCTTTTCTTTAGAAGCTGTACTCTCCTGTGGCAGTAAATTATAGCTACAGTACTGGCTTTGTTCTGCACATCACTATTACTTTGGAGTAGGTCTTTCAATCCCAAAATATATCACAGATATCCCACTACTGTGCAATCATGATCCTCTTTGAGAATAAATTAGTGAAAGTAATTGACAATCCTGTGCATCCCTTGAATCCAGGGTTCTATTCAAGCAGGTAACATGTAACTAGCTCATTTGTCCACAATTGATTTTATATTGAATTTATGTGCTTTATTGTCACCTTCTCTTATTTTCTCTCCTGCCTAAATAAGTTTTTTTTAATCTAGACATTTGGGTACACTATTGTAAAGGGATGGGGGTGACATGCTAAAATTTTACCTATGTATAGGATTGCTAGTGTCTGGGCCCTTTCACCCATTTACAATACTAAGATTCCACATTTAGAATTCTCAGCCAGAGAAGTCTAGTACTTCATCAAACTTTAAACCCAAGGATTCCATCGATGGCTGTTAAGGTGGAATCATAGCACTATTGTGTAGTATGAAAGGGGGGCAATCAGTCTTATCTCCAATCAGGATTCACAATTCACAAGGATTTTAAAGTTCTTTAATTTACAGGATTTGAGGAAGTAGATCCAAAGCCACCTTTTATTCCCCCCCCCCAAAAAAAGTGTACCAAAGATAGGAGTCGTTGGTTACAGGGCTTAGAACTCATCAAACAACTGGACATCCTAGAGCAGGGGTCTCCTTCCTACCAGCCCGCGGCCGGTCCTGCCACCGCCGCTGCTCGCGCCTATCACATGTGCACGACTCCGGGTGCCATTTTGGAAGACAAAATGGCGCCTGGCATCGCGCGCACATGCATGCTACTCAGGCGCCATTTTGTGTTCCAAAATGGCACCCAGAGCCATGCACATGCATGCGCGCCTCCAACTCCCCGGAAGACCTGGAGGCCAGCGAACTGGCCCCCAGATCAAAAAGTCCAGGGACCCCTGTCCTAGAATATTAAAGCAAGGAATAACTGTGATGACAGCAGCCTGACATTTTTCTTTGTGGGAACCCATAAGAAAAGAGGGTTCACCAATACAAGTTCCCAGTTTTCCCACTGCCTACCACATCCAAAGTATTTGGTCTTTGAAATGTTATTTTCACGTGAGGTTTAAAAAGTGCTACTTTTTCTTCCTCCTCTTTCTTCTATATAAAAGATGATCAGTTTTGCTAAACAGGAAAATTACCAATGGTGGATAATTGGAGACTCCTAAATGCTTGAGTATAGCACCATTATGAGTGCTATTGTTCATTAGCAACCCCTGCTGGTGAAATTTCCATGTCCAGGTTGAGTTTTCAGTCTCACCGGCGGATTTCTTTTCCAGCTCATTATTCCTCATGTTCTTAGAGAAATTTCCTATTAAGGATTTACTATTTGAACAGATCTAACCAGAAAAGAGTTTCTAAGTTTAGAAAAATTCAAAATTCAAAAGCACTTATGCAGTTTAATTAGGTTCTCATTTCCCTCTTTAAACTGTAATCCTTAAACATTTATTGGGACTAGTCCCATCAAGCACTTCATCAAGACTGATGTTTTGAAGAATACAGAATCTTGCTTGCTATATTTTCACATTGCAGATGGTCCTGGTTAAAAGATTTCCTACTATGGATTGAGCATAGTAGAATTTAGTTTTGAGTAAATACACATGACAAATAGAGTAATTATCACAATATTATAAAGCAGTCTTGTTTCACACAGTACTCATGCAAATTGTGTAGTGCTACAGCTGCTTTTATAGTAGACTTTGCAAAGAAAGATGTTTCATTCAAAGAATCACTACAGTTTGGAATATGATGAGCATTATATACTTCTGTAAGGTTTTACATGAAGAGATGTACAAGCTGAGAAAAGAATTCATTTTGAAGAGTGAAAATGTACAGTATGTTAATAAAATAGGAGAAGTTTATGAAAAATGTTCTAGGGGAAGAACCATAATTTTCAGAATAAGATGTTCAGAGCTATTTTGTGTAGTTTCAGGTGCAGGACAGAACAGTGAGAAGACACTGCTCTCTGAGAGAGCAGGATTGTTGAGTTTAACCAAGTTATAAATATAAATGTGTGTCTGTCTGTTGTTGTGTAGTTATAGACCTATCTCACTTTTTGTTGTTAACTGCCCTTGAGTTGATTTCAACCCATGGCGTCCTGTGGATGGGACATCTCCAAGGCCCCTTCTCCTCCACTACTCCGCTTAGTTCCTGCAAACTCATACCCATGACCTCCCTAATAGAGTCTATCCATCTCTCATGTGACCTTCCTCTCTTTCTATTTCCCTCCACCTTTCCTAGCATTATTGTTTTTTTTTCCAATGAATTATGCCTTCTCATGATGTGTCTGAAGCTCAGTTTTGTCATCTTGGCTTCCAGGAAGATTTCTAGTCACTAACAGTTTCTATTCGGAGAGAAATGCAGTTATGTCTCCATATCCACAGGTTAACAGATTCAGCCATTCATGACTTGAAAATATTTAAGAAATATATAAATTCCAAAAAGCAAACCTTGATCTTGTCATTTTATATAAGGGCATCATATTTCTGTGCCACTGTATTTAATGGAACTTGAACATCCACAGATTTTGTTATCCACGAGGATCCTAGAACCAAATCCCAGTGGCTATCAAGAGTCCACTGTAATACAAATAATCCATCCTCATGAAACATATGTGTGGGTAAGAGAGAACAAGCAAATTGGCATTTGATCATTACAAAATAAAATTCAGCTACTGGAGACAGGATCACACATAGAAGATTATTGCATAATGATATAAACTGGTTTACCTGATCTGTCTTAAAATTAGAAGCGGGCAGCATCCTGATAGTATCAGATGCATCGAGCTGCCAGAATTGCTGCCTGGGTCCATTACTACTCAGAGGGGCACTCCAGTGGCCATTTTTTCAAGCTGGAAAACTCCCAGCTTCGAAAAGAGGCGCAAGTAGCGCCCCTTCAAGTGGCAATGGAGCCGGGCTGCACCTAGGCAGCGATTTTGAAGGCTAGATGCATCTGATAATATCAGGATGCCACCCGCTTCTAATTTTAAGCTGGCTAAGTAAGATGGTTTATATCATTATGTGATAATCTCCATAGTTCAGATAAATACAAACAAATACTTCATAAGATTGAGGTGCGGGCTGCTGATGTCCCATTGAGAATGCATATCTCTGATACAATAATAAGTAACTATGCAGAAATAATCCAGTTTGAGACTGCTTAACTGCACGGGCTCAAGGCTAGGGAATCCTGTGAACTGTAGTTGTGAGACATTTAGCCTTCTCTTTCAGAGAGCTCTGGTGCCACAATAAACTACAATTCCCAGGATTCCCTGGTACCAAGGCAGGGCAGTTATAATGGTCTAAACCAGGGACAGGCAACCTTTTTGATACCTGGGCCGGTCTCCCGTAGCCCAGGTCTTGGTTGGGCCAAGGGGGGGGAATGGCTACCGCAGCCGCCGCCGTAGCGTGCCACAGCCGCCATGGCGCATGTCGCAGCTGCCATTTTGGTAGTCCAAATCGCAGCCGCGACGTGTTTGCACATGCGCAAGAGTACTGTGCATGTGCAAACGCA